AGTGTCATGCTGCAGAAAATTTTTCTTTCCCACCCACCCACGCCACACTTTGCTCGAACCCGTGCTGTGAGTGAAGCCCCGTGCTGAGTACAGCACCTGTGACTCAATACTTGTGCATCCCCCGGCTGATCCTGCCTTCAAGCCGCGAAGCGGGGTTAATGGTTGCTAGTTAGATCTTGGTTGCTAGGCTGTGCCACACTACTGAGTGCTGAAGAAGTCAGCTGTCCAGTCGTGCTAAGAAGCCTGGTGCTTGATCACCAAGCGTCGGTGATAAGCCGTGCCGTAGCTGCAGGAATCGGCAACTTGCCGTGCCTGACAACTCAAGAAACCCCCAGTCACGCTGGAGAAAAAAGAGGGTCCGTCAGTGAGCTTTGAGTTTTCTCTCTGTGTCGTCAGCGTGTAGAGCCTTTCAACTGTCTTACGACCTGAGTCACCAACCGTAGTTTTGTTAACAGCCTTACGCCCTGAGACCCTAACTGGCAGCCGTTTGTGCTCAAGACATTAAGAGAAACTGCTCGAATCTGAAGAGGGGGGATACTGGAGAATCCGTTTATTTTTCTTGGAACAAAATTGGACCAAAATGGAACACATTGGAACAAAATTGGAACAAAAATGGAAAAATACGAGATATGCAGATTCGCTTCGCTGTGTGATTGGCACGAGATATACCGATTGGCTATGCTGCGAGATTGATACGAGATATGCCGAATGGCTTTTGCGTGATGGACACGATCTATGTCGCGAGATTCGGCTGAGCAAACCTGCAATTTTAGATACATATGAGAGCAACAAGAAGGCAAAATTAATTGGTCCATAAGTGCTCCCTATCTTACACACGTTTTCTCCATTGCTGGCCATCGTTCTGCCATTGCTAGCTGTTCTGCTGCTCCCAGCTTGCTCTGGAGAAAGCCAGCTGCCATCCTTGATGAAAAGTCTCTTGCTTATTGAGCCGTTTGAAAGTCCATTTTTTTTCGCTCGCGTTCCTGCTGGCATTTGCAATCCTTTTCGGATTAACTCTCGATCCAGAAGAACTTGACGCGATTTGGCTTGTGCTGTCTCTGGAGGCAGAAGGGTAGTGACCAAGATTGAAGTTTTGAGTGTTACATGAAATCAATCAAAGCAGAAGAGAAACCCAGGCAAGCAAGATTGACGTGCATAGAGTGGACAAGACATGATGTCGGACACATCCAAGCCTGCACTAGTTTACCTAACTTTTCAGTTTTTTTGACGTCGGTCCCCCTTCCGACCTGGAGATGCTAGAGTTCCAGTTTTCAAGTAAGCGGGCATGCAACGGGTACAAACTGGCAACTTGTTGGTTTTTTGTCCTGCATTGGATCACTGCAAAGCAAAGAACACCTTCATCTTGTTGAGTCTTGCCAAAAAATTTTAAAACAAACTCTGTTTCAGAAAAGTTTATTTTTTTGCTGCAATCATGGCAAAGTAAAGAACTTGAAGCATTTTCACTGGTTGACAAAGATCCAAAACCTGCCCAAAAACTTGCAACAAGCCTCTCCAAAGTGTTTTATGAATGCCTTTGCCTCTAAAGAAAGTCAAAGCTACAATCATGGCAAAGCAAGGTACTTTCCATGATTGCTGCAAAAAAAAGACTTTCCTCAGGAATCGTTGACTCGTAGCTGAAATCGGTTTCTTTTCAGCAAATTACATGTGTTGAACTTTTTTAGGCACTTGACTTTGCCAGCCACTTGACAAGATCCGTTGATAATGCTGCTCAACACAACGTTGGCTGCTAACCAAGAGTCTGTTGGCGCTGTCGTTTGTCTTTTTGGTTATTGGCTGTCTTTGCGCTACTTTATTAAGTGTTGTTGTTGGCTGTTGTTCGTTGTTATTTGTTGGCTGTTAATAGTGTGCTGTTGTTTGTTGGTTTTTTTTGGCTGTTGTTTGCGCACACAAAGCAAAACGTCATTCATTCAACTGAAAAAGTACACATCCCGACACCCTCCATTGCTCTATCTTGCAAAGAGAAACACTCCCACTTCAAGTAGACTTGGAGCTGCGTCCGTGTGTCGATGGTAGAATCGGAAAGTCGAATTTCAGAAATAGTTTTGGCATTAATGTAATCATCATTGTGAACTTTGTCAGATATTCATCATGGTGAAAATCATTATGACTCTTGATTTGGTTCGTCATCTTTGCGTTGCAGTATCATCATTGTCTTCATTCGTCTCGGATGGGGTATAGTTCTTGTCGTCGGCGAAATCATCAAGATCCTCGTTCCCACTTCTAAATAGAAAAGATACTGCGCATTTCCCCAACACCGGAGTTTTCAGCCCAAATGAGGATTGGGACAAAGTGGGATTGCCACCTAGATGGATGTGGACAAGATGGCGTTGCAATCGCAGTAGTGATATGCTTGTAGTGCTAGGTGAATAGCATGAAAAAGAGTGCTACGTGCTACAAGCCGGTTCTGCATAGGTTTTCGTGGCATTATTTGAGTTCAAACTTGTGCGGCATTTGCTTTTCTTTGGTTAGGCATGGTTGCCGGAATTTGTAAAGGAGCCGGTTACGACTGTTTCGGTTGTGATTGGGTGCATAGTCACATGCACTTGAAGCCCCAGTTGGGTCCATTTCAAAATTGATGCACGACATGTGGTGGCCGCCAAGCATGCAGCATGCAGAATGTTTGCACATTGCATGTACAACCATTCAACACGAAGACGTGAAATTGTCCAAAGTATTGGCATGTGGTCATGTCTTCTGTTGAAGAATGCCTGCCATGCCCATGCCGATGACGGCTTGCAGAACATGTGTGACTGGTTCATGGAAGGCATATCCCGCAAAAAAGTAACCAACTAACCTAAACGTAGTTGAGAATGACGGGTGTCATGGCAGCGGTGAATTTTATGTCCCATGATAACAACGAGCCGTAGGAACCGTCAGGTTGTGGGACACAGCATCAAGCACACACACGCACACACACACGCGTAGCAGCTACTATAGTATCGGAGCATGAGTCATGAGCCTTTGGAAGGGCCAGATCACAACTGAAAATGAATCGGAAGATGGAAGCTTCACGTGCATGCCGATGGCGCCGCATAGCTGCCAAGCGAGGTGTATGATTAGCGCTAACGCAAAGATATCCAGAAAGGATGCTGAGATGCCATGTTTTGCATATTGTGAGGACAATTTCCGGCGGTGGCCATGGCTGCCATATTTCTGGGAGCTGTTCGGCCGACTTTCGTGCTTAACAGGCGTGAATCCTCCAAAGCAGCCCAAGAGGCAAATGGTGATGTTTGTCAGGCCTTTCTCTCGACGGTCGGTCCTGGGCGTTGTTGGAGCGGGCGTTGCGATCACAGAGGCATGTCAATTGCCAGTGAAGTGGTCCGAGGCACACACAGATCAATGCAAACACGCTGCATGTTTGTGCAGGAGCCGGTATTCGCCGAATCTCCAGACAGTCTAGACAGTGTCTTGCTGTTCTCGAATGCGGTTGCAGCATCAAAGGCGCAAAAGTTCAGGACACATGCGTTTGCTATGCTTGATACTCATTGGTCGGACTGAAAAGTGGCGATCAATTCACACGGGCGGCAGCGAGCGTGAAAGTTCGGCGAGTGGCCAGGAGAAAAGGTGTCGAGTTTGTGGGTCCGGAACAGGTCGCACGATTTCTCGAAAGCTTGACGGTCTTGCAATGCGTTGCTACCGCTACCTCTCCAAAGCTTGGGATCGCTGGAAAAATCGACAAAGACACCGAGCTGACAGCTGCGAGCACGAATGCAAACAAAAAAGATTAAGAACGGCAAGTGACAGATGCCAGCACGGTTCAGCAGAGCATTAAGGATTGCAAGGTGCAAGGCGAGCAAATACCACATGGCTCACTGATCAAACGTCGCTTCGGCGCAACAAGGCTTTTCGCACTGCGAACGTGGGATTTGCGTGCCATGCTGCGACAGACACATTCACTTCGCAAACTCATACGACTTTTTTGAATTTGGAGCGACGGCTTCGGCATGGCATGGCTTATCTTTGTGTTCTTGACTCAGTCATGGGACTTGCGAGAAGTTTTGTCGCACTTGGAGGCAACTTACACACGGTCTAGTGTTCTTTTTGCGCCGTCGGTTGCCAGCCACCGCTGAGGACGAACACTTCGGCACGCGATGTCGCTGCATATTGTGTGCACACGGCTCCCGACGCCAATCGCAAGTTCACATGTGTGGTGCAAACGACCACGAGAACGCGAATTTACCAGCAACATGTAGAGATATGTAGAGGTATGACAGGCGCCTGCACAGCCTCGGGCTTGGTGTCGAGGATGGTTTTTGCATGTTTTAGCTGCAATCTGGAAATGTTGCTCGTGCGTGGAATTATCTCGTTTCATGACGTTGCGAGGGCGCGTGGTGCAATTTTTTCGCTCATGCCTGCTTCCCTTCGTGCATGCCCAGGCCGCGGCCTTTGCAAGAGAAGCGTCTGGCAAGCTGGCCAGCCGCCGGCTGACCCGCCTTCGGCATCACGTGTTCACGTCATCGCCCATCGGAATCGACGTAGCAAAGCGCACGTTGGAATTCCGCATCGTGGCAGCGCATGTCGGTTTTCATGCTCCCGGCTAGGTGGACCGTTGTGAGCACGTATTTTCGCCTTGACTTTCCTAGTTGCTGTACTACGCAGCAACGCAGCAACAGGCTCTAGCGTTTCGGAGAGCAGCCTTGCCAGAGTGCAGTCTTGCACAAGCCAGCAGCTGCACTGGGCAGATTTTGGTGTGGAAACTCCGGTCTTTTCGGTGCTGCGCATTGCCGTATCAGAGTACGTGAGGGTGATTTTGCAAATATTGAATCGCCACTGAAAAATTTCTTTGGCTTGTAGGCTTCCACAGCCTGTATTAAGCCATGAGCAGCCCAAGCTCAATGTGCTCTCCGCGCAACGGGTGCTGCTGCCGGGTGCCTCCCGACCGTGCCGGCGACTGCCTGGTGCAACCCAACACGAAAAGTCTCGACGCCCCGCTTCGTGACAGCTCTGGCTAGGTAGGGAGCTTGTGTCCCGTACAGGGCAACCGAAACACACCAAACACCACGAGAGTAGGCCATAACACACCCGTCCTTTTCAGCAGAAGTGTCACACAGGCTTGGCCGTGCGGTCCGCCGCTGCCAGTCCGTGCCTCAGATCCTTCCTTTGCCTTTGCCGCACGTGTGAGCCTTGGCCGCATTTCCGCCTGCCAGGCCCGCCCGCCCTGAGCTCCAACCGATAAAAAGCTTGGCTTTGCGAGGCAGCCGTAATAGGCTTGCCACGCTGCCGGCCTGCGGTTTACAGCGTTTTCGTCTTGCCAGCGCAGTTGCGTTTGTGCATTTTGGAAGCCTCTGCGGCTGCTCTGCCCGGACGTTTTAACTGGGCTGCACCCGCTGGCCGCCTTCTTTTGCCTTTGCACGCCCGGCATAGCGCCGTTCCTTGCATCTGTACAATACAGGATATCATCCCTCTGCGGCTGAACAGAACAGGATGTCGCAAGGGGCTCCTTCACCGCCGCCCTCCCCAGCTTTTGCCCCATTGACCGTGCCGGACAGCCCCTCCCCTCCCCAACTGATTGCTGACCACGCGCCCCGTCTCCCGCACAGGCTGCTTCTTCAGCGCCTTGGGGCTGCTTCTTCAGCGCCCACCTACTCACTCGTCACGGCCCTCTTCCACGCTTTCGTCAGTCCCCGACACTGCCCCATGTGCTTTGCGCGGTGACGTGACCCCTGAATTTGATGTCCCGGCAGTGGCCGCGTGCCCGATCTGCCTCCTGGCACCTTCGTCGGAGCCCGAAGCCGAGGACACGGCGTTCCCTCGTTGCAATGCCTTCACACATCTCTCCTGCCTCGTGCGTTGCGCGCAACTGCACGGTACATGTCCCAACTGCCGAGCTGCCATCGACCACCTCCCGCGGGAGCCTGGAATCGCTGCGCCCTGCCAAGCGCTGGGGATCAACTTGCATGCCACGAACACTTCAGCACCCGACACGGCCGTTGCCGTTGTACGTTCCTTTGCTGCTCGACGCCGCAGGCATGCTCTCGGCGCTCGCGCGCTCTCATCAAGGAGTGGTGGGATGCCGCCGTCCAGGCTTTGCGGGCACGGGCTTTCGTCCCCGTGCACGAGTTATCCGCAGCTGTCGAGCATGTCGCCCAGGTTTTCACGCCGCCGGTTCTGCACTCGCCCTGGGTTATGCGGTTCCGGGCCTGGGCCGCAGCGCAGGCCGGAAACGTCACGTCCCTGGCCGAATTAGTCCGTGTGATTGCCGTAGCGCCCGAGGGCCACTACATCGCGGCACCGCTGCAGGAGGCACTGCTCACCCTTTTGGTCGGCCCCGCGGCTGTCGCCACCTCTGCGCGATCGAGGGCCTGCGAGCCCGGCCGGTCGAGGTACCACCACAATCGGCCTCTGCTCACGCTGCCGCGCCAGCGGCTGTGCGCTGGCAAGGTGATGAGCCGGTTGATGACGCTGCTGCGCCCGCAGCTGTGCGTCAGCAGGGTGATGCGCCGCTTCTTCCGCCCGCAGCACCTGCCCCCGCCGCCCCACCACAAGCCCAGCACACAGCTGCCTCTCATGGGACACATCCACCGGGCGCGGACGGGGAGCCTGTTGCAGATTTCATTGGGTCCGCCGCTGCACGCATCGTCGACATAGAGCGGCGGGCGCCAGGACGTGGTCGGCGTGGAGGTCGAGGGCGCGGGCGGGGCCGGCACGCCTCGCCGGCTGCGCGCGACACTGACACCGTTGAAGCTGATCAGTGTCAGCCCGGACTGGACCCCCCGACAGCACCGCATCCCAGCGGCGGGTGATCTCGGCTGAGGCGGCCTTCCGCGCGGGTCTGCAATCGCTTGACGCCATTGACCTCGCAGCCACACTGCGCAAATGCGTCCTCACACTGCAGAATGTGCCGGTGCAAGTCCGCAGCACCTTGCGCACTGCCTTCCGTGCCGGGCTCCAGCTCATCGCGGACGCAAGCTCCGCCGACTCGGCACTGCGCTGCTGGAAACTCTTTTACCTCGCCACCCGCATGCTGTTGCACCGTGCCCCCGGCGAAACTCGCGTTCCTGCCACCGAGCTGGGCCGACGATGCGAGCTTTTCCGCCGAGGTGACTGGCCCTGCTTGCTCGCTGCTGCTGAGGCGGCCCTGCGACCTTCGGAGCCTGTCGCCGCACGCGCCGCCCGAACTGCTGATGAAGCTCAAGCCTCCAGAGCCACCGCGCTCGTCCACCTCGGGGAGCTGTCGGCCGCCGCGCGAGCCTTTGTCACCGAGCCTCTTGCGCCTGGCTCTCCCGACACCCTCCGCGAGCTTTGCGACCCGGCTAATCGGCCGCAGGAGCCCTACGCGCCCCCCGATCCGGCGCTGCTCGACTTTAGGCCGGCAGAAGAGTGCGCACTGCCTTTGCAGCCGTACCTCACTTGCTTGCGAAACGCGAGACGAGGCACAGCTGCTGGGCCGTCAGGCATAACCAACGAGCATCTGCGCATCCTGCTAGACGAGGAAGCGGACTGCACGCTCTTGCACGGTGCTGCCAAGCGGCTTGCACGTGCAGACGTGCCGGCGCCCGTCCTCCCTGCCATTCGAGCTGGCCGTATAGTCGCTCTCCGCAAGCCTCACGGGCGTGCACGGGCCCTTGTAGTCGGAGATGTGCTGCACCGCCTCGTCGGACGCACCCTTGCACAGGAGTACGCATCCGAGCTCCAAGCCGCCTGCATGCCATTTCAGTATGGCCTCAGCACCCGGGCAGGCACAGCGAAATGGACCCACGGGCGACGGTGCTGTCCATCGACGCTGTTGGAGCGTTTGATCACGTCTCCCGTCACGCGATGCTCGCTGGCTTGATGCACAGACCAAGCCTGCAGCCCTTGTTGCCATTCGCGCGACAGTTCGCGCGACAGTTCTACGCCTCCGACAGCACATACGTATGGCAGGACGCTCAGGGCGACACATACGAGATTCGGCAAGCTGAGGGAGGCGAGCAAGGCGACCCGCTCATGCCTTTGCACTTTTCCCCCCTTAAAATAGGTGGGACCGGGGGGGGGGTAACCTGTGGTGGCACCTATTTCCGGTCGCAGGGCCACCTATTTTGAGAGGGTGGGGGGGGTGGGAGAAATAGGTGGGAAATGAAGGGTTCCATGAGTGTTCCATGTGTCAGCTGCAGTGATTGGACTCGCAGGCATTTTGCCTTGGAAGTGTAGTATCTGTTCTTATTGATGTGACAAGTGATACCAACAGGAGAC